TATGAAATGTAATGGAGGCCTCGGGCGACTTTTCAGGGGGCACAGAATTTCTAGCTACACCCCTACACACAGGAAACAAGTTAAAGCTGCCAACATGAGTAATAACAATGCAAGAGATACAAGCAAGAATATGGGGCACAAGGAAGAGGGAACCTGGAACATGATGCCAGTCCGTCCCAAGGCACACATGCACACTCACTCGGCAGCTCCCATAAATGCGTGTCTTCAGGCTGCGGGAGGAAACCTATATAGATATGAAGCAACAGTACTACCCACTGAATCTTCCATAAATTAGTTATAATGAATTTTATTAGTTACAGTGATAATAATTTCAACATCGGGTTTTAATTGTCTTATATATGTGTACTACAAACAACCATTAAAGATGCCAAACATCTCTGATTTCGATGTGGAATGATCTGAGTGGGCTGTTTTTAATCAGGAATGAGAAATGTCTTTTTTTTCTTTTATCTGGAAGTAAGACAGTCTCTATAAACATTTCACAATGTCCAAGATGGCTGGATTACAATTATACTCATAAAATATTCTATTTACAACCTCTGAATACACCTGTTTTTCACACTTCTTTGATCACCTCAAGTCAATTGTGCTAATAAGCGTGGTTGAGCCAAAAATTATTGTCCGTGTAATTATTTGGTTGGTGGTTGTACTATTCAATCACAATTATGCAATTGAGAGAATACAGGGCTGTCACTTTCATCTTTTATAGCCTTACTCAGGCAGCTACAGATGGTTACAGGTGATTGACAAACTGGAAAGTCCCTCTCAATCGACTGTTGTGGTACTGTGAGCAGCCAAGACAGAATCAACAAGGGCCTGACCTAATTCTGCTGGAACATAGTGCCACTCTGTCTTTGCCATTTCACGGATGTATAATAGCTGTTTACCCATTCCAGGCCACATAACAGCAGTCAACAAAATTTCATTTTTTAGGTTTTTTGTGTTAAATAATTGAAGGGGGCTCCGGTTTCCTCCCACAGTCCAAAAGCGTGCAGGGTAGGCTGACGAGTGTCTAAATTGGCCCTGTAGTTGTGTGAGTGTGTGCGCCCTGTGGTGTGTTGGTGCCCACCCAGGGTTGGTTCCCACCTGCGCCCGTTGTTCCCGGGATAGGCTCTGGGCCCCCCGCAACCCCAGTGGGGACTAAGCGGTTATGATAATGGATGGATGGATGATTGAAGTGGCTGAAAATGCACATAATATTCATCACCCAGTTCTCTAATATGAGCCTGTGTATACATCACAATAATGTACAAAGAACGAGGATGATCGTATTACTGGTCTGTACACAACTGTTAATGAGAAGCTAGTAAAGGAAGTCATCTAGATGACAGCAAAGTGATGACTGCAAGGAAAAACACCAGTTTTATGAGTTTCGCCAAATCTAGCACAGTAGTAGTGTTACTGATGAAGAGTAGCTGAGGAGGGGTTCTGCTGGAAACAGATGGACGATTTGTGGATGTTGGGCAATTCTTTAACTGTTTGGTCACATTAGTATGACTTACACTATATCAATAAATGCATATAACAAAGCAAAACATATTTTATTTATTTAGATTCATATTAATTAAAGGTACAAATGAAATTATCCATCTGCAGAAATATTTACCATAAACCTGTTTTGCATATTGTAGCTTTTTACTTGGTATGAGCTGATCCACATTTTTTCAGTTCCGATCCGATTCCGAACTACGAATGCTGATACAGATTCGGATACAAGAGCTCTTTTACTTTAATATTTAATATAATAAATATATAATAAATATTGTATATGTTATTAAAATTTGTAAACTAGTAAATACAGAAGAAAAAATGTAAGCAAAAAAATCTTTACTTTGACTACAAGAAACATACATAACGTATTGCTCCACCTCGTTTGAACGTCTTGTTTTAATTGTTTTTGAGGCATTTTACAGTTTAATTTGAATATTTTCCAAGCCAGGATACATAACTGCCGAATACTTAAAATGGCCCTCAATTTTTCTCCGACTGGCAACAGGGTTACTTACACTTCGTTGCGACAGCAGCCTCTCGTGCATCACAAGCTGGATAGAGAGCGCAAAGTTTTCTTGCACAATTGCGTGCTCTTTGTTTAGTGGGATTTTCTAATAAACCCTTTACTTTTTAATATCTAAAGTTATTTTATCCATCCATCTATCAAATATGTGTGCATGTCTCCTGGTCATGGCCACATGGATTATTAATTATATGATGAAACAATATAGATAATGTAGGTGAAACAAAGAAAAATATTGCAGAATTACGTAATGCAATATTGCACATTTCGTAAAATTGCTTGAACTTTATATTGAATGTTTTATTTTTCTGTTCAGTATACTGAACTAATGCAGTAGTAAATGTCACTGTATTGCATGTTTTAGGGTATCTTTGATATACACATTCAGAAATACAATATTTCTCTGATGAAAGCTGTAAGTTTTACCAAGAATAATTAGGGCCATTCCTACTACGAAGTGCCTTTTCCTGTTCATATCAAATATGTCAACATATTGGTAAAAAGGTTTAAATTCTTTAAGAATGATTCAGAAATGAATTAACCTCCAGGTCAATTTCGAGTTGTCTGGTTTTTTATTGTTGTTTAAAGAAAACAATCCATCCTATTAGACATATTACAGGATTGTAACTGAAAGCTTAAGATAACCATTCTTCATGATGATTCAAGATTGAGCTAATGTAAATGATGGTTTTCATCGGAATGCTTCTTTTCACATAACCCATCTTGATCTCCTCCGAAATGCACACATGTATATAGTTTAGAGTGAAGCTCGGGGTCCAAGTGCCAGGCCAGCTAATCCTCCAGTGCCCCAGGAGCATTCGCTCAATGGTCCAACAGACGTGTTACTATTCTGCCGAGGGTGGGATTCGAACCGGCAACAAGGGTGGAAACAGGGAGGAGAGTGATATACTGGCAATTAAAACAATGAAACATCACAAAAATCAGGAGATTGGGGTTATGCCTTTGTTTTCTCACCATAAGCATTGTCACTTCCTACAGGATTGTGGATGATATTGCTTTTAAAGTAACATTACAGCAGTTACAGCAACGGGAGGAAGCAGGGCGTGATACTACAGACTATTTACAGGGCAATAAAACAGTTACATGCAAGTAAATGCGTGTACATACTCATGCCAGCCAGCTGACCAAGGTTGGCAACGCTGAGACTAACCGGATGTAGACAATCCGCTAAAACCTTTACCTTCTAAAGCATCAGTCTTAAGAAAAATATTTTACTGGAAATATTTTAATTACGTAATATAAAAAATGAAGATCAGAAAATGCTATAAGTAATTGCCAGTTTTGTATTGTGAAAGTACTTTGAACCAGGGTAAATTATAAAATTGACAATACCACTCAGAGGAATATGATTTATGGATGATTTTGCAGACTCATTTAATACTTTTAAATGTAGGAATTTAGCATTTTGCCAATATATTAAAACATTTAATGGTTACTGTAAAAGGCACAGGAGTACCCATTTGCTACCATCGAAAATAATGTGCTTCTGAGAGTGAATAGAAAGTCTATTTAAATGATATTTGGTGTTTATAATTGCTTAGCAAAGGGTAATTAATCCACACTGTTAGTGGTAATATTACAATTTCCTCGTACTGTATGATTACACTCCAGAAATAATGAATGTCGGTCAATGAACATTTAGCCTTGAGCAGTGACACTTGTGAAGACAAAAGGTTTTAAATAAACCTTAAATTTCATGCAAAAGCATGGTTCAGTTTCCACCTTTAATTCAATATTAATCTAATTATTTCTCTCGCCGCGATCTCCCCAGAGACTCTTGAGAGAATCCAGCGAAGAAAACGTACATATGTAGCCTGCTTCTCAAATTCAAGCATTAATTAGGCCTGCAATCATCTCGTGGGTCCTTATAAATCAATTCCCTTGGTAGGGCATATGAGTGCTTAAATATGCACGTGCCAAAAATAAAACAATGGTTCTATTAGAATGTTATTTTCATGCCCGTCAGTTGCGCATAGGGAGAGGTTGCTGTTTAAAAAACTTAGCAGGATCCCGGCCTATTTGGCTTCGTGCAATCCTCAGTATAACTGGAGTTAGGCTATGTCCTTTTATTATTGTGTCATTGTATACGCACTAACTTGTTTAAATTAAAAGTCAAAAGAAGAACTGAGAAGTAACACGCACTTGCAAGATGCTCGGCTGCACACGAGAAACACGTCACGATCAGCGATCACAATTTTCTCCCCGCAATATTTGGGGCACGGGGATGGTGCGTGCGTGATGTCGCACTGGCGTCACAGTAACGCATCATTAAGCGTCTATTTGCAGTCGTTCAGTACTGTTAGTAATTCAGTTAGGCAGTCTGGTATAAATAATACCTGCACATAGAATTAGTTGTAGATATATTAATTATTATAATAATAATAATAACAATTATAATAATTATAATTATTATAGTTGTTATTATTATTAACAATAATAATACTATACTACTGCCAACTCAGTAGTGTGATATACTACTACTATTAGCCTACCTATTTATGGACACCCGAAGGATAATAAAAATTCGCTACATACCGTGTTACTGTACATACCGGCTTCAACCGGAGATTATGAATAGGCGGAATAGCCTACATGACGTGTACCTAGACGGTAGCCTAATATTAGATGGCGCAATACCAACTTTAAAACGCTTTGCTAATATGTTTTATATACCATTGCACCGAAATTCTACCACGTTTCAATGAAAACGTATTAAAGTTTCCATTTCGTTTTCTCTTGAACGCTGGAAAATAAATAGTAAATATAGGCTATATAAAGAGTATGGCACTTCCACCTATGGTAGTCCGTCAGGACAATTAATTAATTGTAGGCTATGTATATTACTATACAATTATAAAGCATAGCAAAGTCATGGACGAATCAGCACAAAAGCAGCAACTAAACTATGACACAAAGTTCTAAATTAGCGTTTCCTTTTCCTTACCTGTAGTAGACTGATGAAGTACATTTTTGTGGCGCTTCCCCTTTTCTCTTCCTTAAGTCGGAAACTTTCTTGGTGTTTACTTCACAAAGGCATGTATGAATTAAAAAAAACAACTTCAAAAATTCTGTATAAAACAAATACGGAGCTCTCATTTGAGCACATGAAGTACAAATATATTAGTTATGCTGCCTTTTTATCCCTTCAGGCGTTAGAACATTTACAAATTATGTTTTATTTTATTCTATGCTTGTATATATCAAAAGATGTGGAATCAGAAACGGTAGTCCAGGTTGATTGATTTATATTCCGGCCGGTTCCATTGTTTTCGAGCTGGTGATCCCTGCGCTGTTGTCATTTATAGTTTTATTTATTTTTTGCAGAGATTATTATTATTAGGCTAGCTATTACGTTGTTATTGTTTTCCAAGAGATAAAAATTCCGGCGCAGGTCTTTCACTCCTTAGACCTTCACAGTGCCGTTTTATAAAGAAAAACAGTTGAGATGGACCACTAAAGAAGACGAAAAAACCATGCCCACTGTTTGGTCCTCTTTCCCAGTTATCCCCCTTTAAGAAACTGTGCAGTCAGCAATGAGCTCCCGGCTTCTTTCAACGTACCGCCTAACACCGCAAGCATTCAGCTTATGTCCACATAGAAACTAAATGTTTGTTTACACTATATTTTATAAACGCTGTGTAGTGTCTGTCGAATTAACGCTACTTCGTTTTTCTTTGGCGTCAAATGCTCAAATGCCGAATTTCAGCGGCACGACCAGTATTCACAAATACAGAGCGAATACGGGAATTTAAAGTTGCGAGGTGTGCCTTTCAACTCCGCGATCTTACTGAAAACTTGGACCGGCCTGTCCTGCAGTGCCGCAGAAATGACTGCGCGGGTGCCTTTATTTATCTGCGAAAACACTTCTACTCTCGAACTCCGTAAGTTGTCTCGCAGTACATCAGTAGCGACAGCTCCTATTGTCAGGAGATCGCCAGTCCGGAGATAGTATCCTCCATACGGGACTTGCCCACGACACGCCAGCTTTCCGGTTAGGTGCACAACCGCACCGCTCTCCCAGTTATTTGCTGGTTATGTGCGGTGGCCTCGCTTGGTGTCACCGGCGCTTGCGGCTGTTAACCGGATCGTGCACATCAACCACCAATATGCGAGGAAAGAAACTGTGCTAACAGAATTGTTTCTGTGTTGTAAGCAGGTCATTTGTAACTGTTTTGATAACTAACATTTTACCTATTTGTTTTATACTTTATTTTAGTACTCCTTTTGAGATTGCTGGTCAGTTTTAGGGTAGATATTGATATTGCCCTGTTCAGTACAATTCTCAGAAATGCGCAGGATCTAGCTACGGTTCGTCAGTCTACGTTTACTGTCGTTTTTTTTCCGAACCCAACGCTACTTCTGTTAGAATTCTCCCGACTATCGGACGGCTTTTATTTCCGAAGAGTACTATTTATCGCTGCTCTCTGCCTTGAACAAATTGGGTGAAATGCAAAAGAAGGAATTTACAATATTTTTTTTGTCCCTTCTATGGAAAACATCCGCGGTCTATGTAGTTTTTACCTGACCATACTGTTAGCTACAAGAACAACAACAACAATAACATTAATAATAATAATAATAATAATAATAATAATAATAATAATAATGAGGCGCAGTAGGTAGTACTGTTACCTTGCACCTTCAGGGTTGTGGGTTTAAATCTTTCCCTGGCATTTTGTGTGTGACGTTTGTATCTTTCCCGTTTGTATTGAATTCTCACTGGTTTTTACATTTTCTTAAGAGTGTCCTGTGCTTCTGTTGGAAGCTGAAATAATAACTATACTGTAATTCCTTATACCATTTATTATCAGTAATGTCCATGATTTAAGGGCTAATTCAAGAATGTTCTTCAAAGCATCAGACATATTGGTTGGCAGTGCTGAGTAATGGATGATTGACGAGGTCTCCACTGTTGATTCTCAAGTAAGGTTGTGAGCACTGTTCTTTTCTTAACTGGTAATTGCTGTAAGATCAGTATGAAATGTTGTCTCCAGCAAACCATGTTTTCTGGTCTGAAGAAAAAATTCGGGATTGTTGCTTCAGCAGACACTCATCAGTACCTCACTAAAGATACATCAGAGGAAGAGAAAAAAACTAAGAAGTGAAATTTACATACTGATAGCATGCTGAATGAGGCCCTTATAAGATCAGAATGCCTGGTTAATACAGCTGAGATGAAAAGTTTGAAGCAGAACAGTCACATGACCGTGAGTGCAGTATGAGGTCATTACATCACATTTTGGAGCAGGACTTAACCAATAAGGGCATTAGTGGGATGGCTATAATTCTCAGGATAGCTGATGACAGAAACTTAATTTATAACCTATAAAATTATTACTCAACTTTCTTTTTAAATGAACCAAGCCGTATGTGCATATTATATTGCATATAATAAAGATAAATTATTATGAATTAAAACAATCATCACACTACTGGGTTGGCAGTTATGGAAGACAGATGGATAATTTAAAAAACCGTCAAGATATGTTGTGTATATTTACATTAACAGACATGCAATAAAACAACATTCTACAATTCAATGGTAAATTAAGCTCTGCACCTGAACTGAGACGTGTCAGGTGTGCAAATTTGACTTGTTTTTTTAAGTGTGCTATAAGCCTACGATTGACAAAAAATGACCGAAGCAGAGCTGTGATGGCAGCCAGAACTCAAAGAACAATTTGAGATTCAACATACTATCATCACGAGAAAGACGTGGTCTGAAGCCAGGGAAAAAATCATGGCTTGATCGAAGTTCCTGATAAAATAAAGCAGTTTCCAATGGAATGACTGCCTTCTTCTGCATATGCAACTTCAATTATAACAGGACATCTTACTGCAGTGATTTCCAAGACTGTTGCTAAGGAAACACTGTTGTAGACTATGCTACAATTATATTGTAATTAAGCAACAAGAACAAATTTAGAATATCAGTGTGTTTGATGATACGTCTTAGGCTTCTCCTTGAAGTTATCTTTGCATAGGCATCCATTGCAAATCATATTGACCATAATCCCTATTATGTCACACACATACTCTTCAATTCTTTTAAATATTAGTTGGCTTAATTTGAGCCCTTTTTTCCCTATAATAAATGAACATTGTAAAGACGTTGTACACCCTCAAATCAGCTCATTTGCATCTTATCTGATTCTTAAGAAATGTCCGTCCGTCCATCCAGTTTCTGCTGCTCATCCGGATCGAGGTCATGGGGGCAGCAGCCTGAGCAGGGATGCCCAAGCCTCCCTCTCTCCTTCCACCTCCTCCGGTTCCTCCAGCCGAGAGATATCATCTCACCAGTATGTGCTGGGTCTGTCCCAGGGTCTCCTCCTGGTTGGACATTCCCAAAGCATCTTCCCTGGGAATCGTCCAGGAGACATCCTAGACAGATGATCGAACCACCTCAGTGCATGTACAGATGTCTTGAATAAAAGATATAGGCATTTCTTTGAGCTGCTTTTGCTGACAAATTCATGGGAGATTGAAGATGATTGAAATAAAAATACTATAATATTTTGTGATTTTTTTTAGCTGCTATTTTGCATATTAAGTGTCACATAACAGGTGTTAGTAGTAGTAGAGCTTTATTGTAATCTCAACCATATACATTAAAGCGCACAGTGAGATGAAATAACGTCCTCCAGGACCAAAGGTGAAAAGTACAACACAACAGGACAACAGCACACATTGACAGTGAGGATAATTTGGGGGTGGGAATAAATGATACCTCTAAATATACATATACCTAAAAATAGAACTATCTAAAAAGACTTTTAGGAGGGGGGGTACATCAGGGAGGCTGTGACAATACAATATACATCATACAACAAAAGACTATGGACTATGAGAAACAGTGCAAATATGCTGGCAGTGTAGTATAGTTAGTGCAGACGTGTACTGCTGTGCAATTTCCTTGTACTATTACATTGTGCAAATATGAGCAGTTGTGCAAGTATGCAATGAGAATAAAACATTGTTCAGTAGAAGGAGGTTAAGTAGGGCAGAGCAGGATGTTAAGGAGACAGTCCAGTGTGGAAGAGGGCAGCATGGCGTTTAGGAGCTGGACTGCTTGGGGCAAGAAGCTATTGCACAGTCTAGCAGACCTGCTCCTGATGTTGCAGAATCTTCTTGCAGATTAAAGGGGGGTGAAGAGTCCTTGGGAGGGATGGCAGGGGTCGGCCGCGATGCTGGTGGCCATATGCTGCAGGCGGTCTGTTCATTTCACTCCACGTCCACAGATCCAGGGGAGATGTATGGCTGCTGCGTCACTCACCAAGCCACTGTGCCGCCCAAGGTCAAAAAACATTTAGCTTAATGTACTGTTTCATGTCAGTTATTTTGAGAAAAGATCAGTCAGTTGCGCATTGGAATTATTGACAAACTAACAGAAATAATAACCACTTTAAAAATCCCCGGACTCACCTTCTCTTGCACCCACAGGGCAACTCTTCTGCAACAGCCCTGACAAGTCTCAAGGTGAACTTCAGAGATTACTTTCATGTTTCCTGGCTTAGAATAGAACTACTGTAACTACTCCAGCAGAAGATCTCAGAAGATTAGATTTCCAGTAAAATGTCCTACCAAATTAAAGGATGATTTTAATAATCCTTCCCAGATGACTGACACTAATGCAGGGACTGAACAGGACAGACACCACTGATGACACTTGAGTGTCTCATTAAACTACAATATAAGCAAAACCAAAAGCAATAGCACATCACATAGAAAAAGAGAAAAGATTTCATAATTAACCTGGTGAGAATACCCTTAGTCCAGTAGATGGGAACAAGTGCAGCCGAAAAAGGTGAAAATAATAATACGTATGTAACGAACAAGGATGTTAAGATCCATTATGAAGGAGCTGAGCAGAGCGTTTAATTGCTATCTTATCAACCAATCAATCGATGTGTACAAATACAGGATAGAAACAAAGCAAAGACAGATGTACTAGGAAAAGTTAACATAACTTCCCGAACTTTACAAGGAACAGAAATGAGTAGTATTTCAGGAAAATAACAGAAATCTGTCTTCCACAACTGATTATCCAGTGTAGCATCATGGTGAGATTGTTGTACAGAAAGCAGGGCACATTCTTGGTGGGATTCCAGTTCATCACAGTGTGCATTCTCACAGATACAATCACACACTGCACGCAGGGACAGACAGTATAAAATAAGAAATGAAATTGTACATAAAATGCCTTGTGAAAGGCATTGAGTGCTCCAGATGTTGCAAGCAGGGGTCCAAGAGATGGCTAATGTCAGTACCCTGGATAATGCCTAAATGTGGATCCCTTCTCCAGATGCTGCTGGAGGCCAAAAATCTGGGTCCAGTTGATGATGGACTCAGTTACCCCAGCTTTTGATTGCTGCTCTTTTCCGTCTGTCCTCCCCTACAAGCATATCTAATGGGCAGTGGTGCCGCCCAGGAGCTGCACAAAAATCAGGACTGAAAACAGGGACAAGAGCTTTTCAACCGGGTAATCCCAGTAGGGAAGGGATTTTGTTACCACAAGCTCGGACACGGGACTCACCACAAAGAAAGCAGCCCCATCTTGTCACGTGATGAACATAAAGGCCACCTCCTTTACCCTGTTGCTTGGTGACTTGTGGTTAAAAAAAAAAAGTCAAACAGGCTGATTAGTGCTCACACACCGAGGAGAGAGCGCATGTTTTGTTTAGGGGCAAGTAGAGGACGCGGTCAGCAAGGTCCCGGCAAGCAGAAATGAAATGATGATACAGAAGTGGTCTAATGTATTACCGCTGGGTGCAGGCATGCCGTAAGGGAGCAATTATTAACTTAAGACATTTTAACAATATTATCAAACTAATTGAAAATTAATTTTTGGGAAGGTGTGTTGTTAGTTAAATGTGAACTGCTAATAATAAAGAAAAAATAAAAACATAAACATATAAATAAAGAAGTAATAACTGTGCAGCAGTAGTTTTAAATGTGAGGAATTTGGTTGTTTCAACATGAATCTGTCTTTCAGTTAGGCATTAACTAGAA